CCCCCTCACCTCTCCCCCGTTCCTCCCTCCTCTCCTCTCCCCCTCCCTATGTCTGGCTTCTCTCTGGCCCCTCGGCCCTGCTCCCTGGCATCCCCTCGTCTCTCCTCCTCTGAGTGGCCCCCTCCCCTGCTCCCCTCGGCCTGCTTTTCCTGCTCTCTTCCCCAGGCTGCCTTCCCCCTTCCCCCTTGACTTCTCTCCGACTTTCTCCTCTCCCTCTCCTCTCTCCAGGTTCTCTGCTGCCTCCTCCCTCGTCTTTCCATCTCATCCCATTTCCTCCTTTGTGAATCTGCCTTTTTCTCCCCCAGCCGAGGGCTCTCCCCTCCCACCAGCCTCCCCCTTCTGTGCCTTGTCTGCGCCCAGCCTCTCTGCCTAACCCCCGTCGCCCCCGCCCTGAGGGTTCCACTCTCACTCTGCCTCCCCAGTACCCTCAGTGCTGAGGTTTCCAAGTTCTGAGCAGGAGGTGGGAGTCCACCCAGGGGTCCTCCCGGGCTTTGTGGCAGGCCAGAGGCCCTGGGTGGAAGGACCTTTGTGACACCCATTGTTTTCTCTTTCCTGTCTGCCCTGGACTCCGGACACTGCCTGGAGGAACCAGACCGGCCCCAGGCCCAGGAAGGAGGACACGAAGAACAAGCTCAGAGACAGCAAGTTGCCTAAAGACACACAGCAAGTAAGTGGCAGGGCCAGGACTGGGCGGGCCTCCCTGGGGTGGCCAGGAATGGGCTCCTTCTCCACTCTGCTGATCGCTGGACTCCAGTCTGCGGGCAGTGAGAAGAGAGAGCTACCTCCTTTCTGCTCCATTCTCCTCCCTAACCACCCCCATCTCCTCCTCAGGCAGCATGGGGCACATCAGCAGTGGAGAGGACGCACCAGCTCTTGTGTCACAGAGAAAATAGGCACCCAGTGTTTCTGAGGACCAGCATCTGCTAGGGCTGAGACTTCGTGGGAATCCTGACCTTCCCAAAGGACCACCAGTGTCCCCTGCCCGGCACTTCCCTCGGTGGAGGGGGCCCACCTGGGCCCACACAAGGCCTAAGAGACAGTCTCAGTGCAATCCCATCTCCACCTAGTGGCAGAGGAGGGAACTGCAACCCAGCTGTATTAGACATGGGAATGGTCCCCGTAAGAAGTGGACAGTGACTAGAATGCAGGATGGGGGCGGGGGGTGCTGGTGGGGAAGGAGAAAGGGAGAATTTTCAAAATTCTGTAAAAATAAAAGATATTTTATTCCTAGTCAATACATACATATACGTCATATACTCAGTAAGCTTCTTGTATGCCAACTTAAACCTCTGGACTTCTCGGGTTTTCAAGTCATTCTATGGGCAGATTCTCACCTGTGTTGCCATGGAAATGCATATGGGACTGTATGGGAAACAAAGGAAGGTGGGACTGGGTGTACACAGTTTGCTTGAGAACCTATTTCTAGGAATTGGGCCAAACTGACACTTTTGTAATGAAACTGTTATCCCTTCCTGAATGGGAGCAAAGATGGCTGACAGCTAAAGGGGGGTCCAACAATTGGTCCCAGATCCTCACCATGAAGTCTCTCAGATGGGTTAAATAAAAGAGCCTGCAGAATCGTTTCCAGAAACCACAGGCCACATTGCACAATTTGGGGTAGTAAAGACCAAGGCCAGTGCCACTTGACTTCTGTGTTAGAGTGGGGAGAGCACCAGCGTCCCTATTGGCTTGTGCTCCATAAACTCTCCAGGGGGAAAATACAGGAATAAAAGTGATGGGGGAAGAACTTTCCACCACACAACTTCATGTGTCACCTGCTCATAAACAGCCAGTGGTCTCACTTTTAGTCACGCATCCCCAGGAAATAATTCAAACTCACACAAGAGAGAGGTTGGCTGCTGATGCTCACTGTAGGGCTGTTTATAACCACATAAAGCAGGAAGAGAACGAAGTGCTGAACATTTGGGGAACAGTTTAATAAACTGCCACACGACACAGAGGGCCATCATGCAGCCATGACGGCGATGGAGGCCACGTTTCGGGGTTTCTGAATAATTCATAATGTGAACATCGAAGCTCAGTAATGCCTATGTACATATATACAGCAGGACAACCTTGAGCCAAGTTGACAGGTGCATCTGGCTGCTGGGAGCTGTAACTTCTTAAAACTTTACATATTATTTTTCAATATATTCTCGTCAATGCTTTTAAATAGGCAAGCAGGGTGGGGGAAATAAACAGCAAAGGCCCAGTAGTCCTCACCTAGTGCCGTGTCCCAGGGAACACAGCCCAGGTGGTGGGATTCTATTTATATCCCAGGCCCTGCACTCCACGAAATATTGTTTTGTGCTAATTTCAAACATCACTTCCTCAAGCGCAGAAGCCTATGGAGGGCCTGGCATCCTGGGCAGAAGGAGGGCAGAGTAGGGCCCGAGGGCAGGGCTACAGGAGGGACAGAGCCAGGGGCCCACAGCCAGCCCAGGCCTGCCCTGTGCCCTCAAGGGCAGCGAGAGACAGGAGTTGAGGGGCCCATCCAGCGGGCTGGGAAGGCAGGGTGCAAACAAGGCACAGAGGCTGGAGAGAACTGGCATGTTCCCAGACTATAGGGCTTGGGGGTGTTGGGGATGAGGAATGAGGTCAGGGGGGCCCAGGAGCTTGGGCTCCAGCCTGTGGGCAAAGGGAAGCCTTTGAGGCGACAGTGGGGCTGTGGGGGCAGGCAGGGTGCAGTATGGCCAAGAATCCAACCGCCCCTCTACTGACAGCAATGCCGAGGCCCACGGGGAAAGGTCTCTTGGAGAGGGGCCAGCGAATCCTTTGTGGGATGACCAAGGACACGGGCACTCTGGGCAGGAAGGAAGTTCCCTGGGCAAAGGACAGGCACTGACTGTCCCCAGGACCCTCACCGGCCACT